AGGAACTGTATAGGTGGGCTAAAACAGCAGAACCCCAACTATACTTTCTAGTTTTTTCGAAGTCTCTAGGTAAATTTAAATACATAAAATTTACACTATTTCCCGTACTTTCGGGAAATAAAAAGGTTCCAAATAGTATCATTATATAAGTTCTAGCTTTTATTACCTTGGATAGCTCGGAGGAATTTTCGTTTAATTCCAAAGTCGCATAATGATTTTTAAGCTCAGTTAGTAGTATACCCTGACCTCTCGCACCACCACCTTCAACCATATCCCTGCCCAACAATTCTTCACACAGAGAATTGGGTTGTTGAACCGAACCGTTAACGACACCTTTCATTGGACTTGGCGAAATTGTACAAAAATGAAAGGTGTCGCCATCCCCATTGACGAATAAGAGGTGGCATGGGTTGCAGAGTAGGCGCAGGCTAGGTGACAGTCTTGGAGAAGGCATCTCTAAATGCATGTAACACTATTGGACATGATGGGAGGAGCCTTAGAGGTTACAGTGCAGGTGCAGAGTAGGCACATGCTAGGTGGCAGCCTTGAAGAAGGCATCTCTGCATGCATGTAACACGATTGGACATGAAGGGAGGCGCCATTGGACTTGGCGAAAGAGTACAAAAATGAAAGGTGTCGCCATCCCCATTGGCGAATAAGAGGTGGCATGGGTTGCAGAGTAGGCGCAGGCTAGGTGACAGCCTTGGAGAAGGCATCCTTGAATGCATGTAACACTATTGGACATGATGGGAGGAGCCTTAGAGGTTACAGTGTAGGTGCAGAGTAGGCGCATGCTAGGTGGCAGCCTTGGAGAAGGCATCCCTGAATGCATGTAACATTATTGGACATAAAGGGAGGCGCCGTTGGACTTGGCGAAAGAGTACAAAAATGAAAGGTGTCGCCATCCCTATTGGCGAATAAGAGATGGCATGGGTTGCAGAGTAGGCGCAGGCTAGGTGACAGTCTTGGAGAAGGCATCCCTGAATGCATGTAACACTATTGGACGTGATGGGAGGAGTCTTAGAGGTTACAGCGTTGGTTAATTCAAATTCAGCATGACCTATTTAGTCTTATATTTATCAAAACACTGATTCACTTAACCTCTCAAACACTAGAACATTAAAAAATGACTGCAAATAACTCATAAACTTCAAACCTTCCAACCTTCAAACCTTCAAACAGTCATATGCAATGGCCTCTGCACCCCAATATGTCATCAATGCACATTTCAACAGTGAGACATACATTTGTCCCACCTCTGGGTTTTTGTTTAAAGACACAGACAACATCCAATTTTGTTTAAACAGGAAAGCCAATTTCTTGTACTTCAAAAAATGATTGGAGGCCAAACTTGGACGAGGCCCAGTGACACAAATATTTTATCAGAATCCGGTTTTTTTTGTAACAACCAAATAATATTTTATAAGGTTGAGGTTCAAGATGACGAGGATCTTCAGAATATGTTTTTCAGTCATGAGTATTCTGGGTACGACTCTATTGAATTGTACATTATGCTGCGAGAGCCTCAGGTGTCACAAGTGGTTGATCCTTTAGAGACTGAACAAGCAGAAGTAGATGCAGTTGATGAAGAAGAAGAAAATGACGAGTTGGAGTTTGACAAAATGGTCAATGATGATTCCGAAGACGATGGGATACCTGGTATTCCTGCAAACGAGATCTACACACCACCTCCGCACATGACAAACTTCAACATGGGCGGAGATGAACCGTCTTCTGATTTATTTTTCAATCCGTATATGCAGTCGGATGAAAACTTAAAAGAGAAAGACAAATTTCATAACAGAGAAGAATGTATCAGAGCCATCAAAAAATTCCACATGCTCATTTCGATCGATTTTAAGGTGGACCGTGTAAATCCAGAAAGGTACAAGATCAAGTGTGTTCACCCTGATTGTATGTTCAAGCTCACTGCATCATACTGATTAAGAGGTGATTGTTGGGTCATAGGTTCCATGTCTACCCACACTTGTGTCAGTTCTACTCAATCACGGGATCATCGAAAACTTAATTATGATCTCATTTGTCAAGAAATCCTACCACTCGTCAGCAACGATCCATCTTTGAAGGTGAAAACCATAATTTCCCACATCACTACGGTATTTAACTATACTTCATCTTATTGAAAGGCGTGGTTAGCAAAGACCAAGGCGATTGAAAAGGTATATGGAAACTGGGAGGAGTCATACCAAGAACTTCCTCGCTACCTGAATGCACTCCAGACTTATTCTCCGGGTACTGTTTATATTCTGGAAACAGTGCCAGCATACGCCCCAGATGGTAGTCAACTCAACGGAAATGAAATATTCAATCGAGTGTTTTGGGCTTTTCAACCTTGCCTCGTAGGGTTTGCGTCATGCAAAACAATTATACAAATTGATGGGACTTTGTTGTATGGGAAATACAAAGGCACGCTGCTGATGGTAGTTGCACAAGATGGTAACAACAATATTTTTCCAATTGCCTTTGCCCTAGTCGAGGGGGAGACTGGTGGTGCTTGGAGATTTTTTCTCAAAAATCTGCGAACACATATGGCTCCTCAACCAGATCTTTGTTTGATCTCGGATAGACATGCATCCATTGAAAGTGCATATAATAATCCTGCAAATGGTTGGCATGACCCTCCTTCTACGCATGTCTATTGCGTTAGACATATCGTCCAAAATTTCACGAGGGAGATCAAAGACAAAACACTTAGGAAAGCGGTTATGAACGGGGTATGCATTGACATAACCTACGTTCAAATATTATCGCAACAAGATCCGTTTGTCAAATCCAAAAGCCGGTAGGTGGATCGATAATATTCCGGTAGAAAAATGAACTAGGTCATACGATAATGGCCAAAGATGGGGACACATGACAACAAATCTAATTGAATCGATGAATGGGGTATTCAAAGGCATACGAAACCTTCCGGTCACTGCTTTGGTAAAATCAACATATTTTAGGATGGCTTCGTTGTTTGCCAAAAGGGGTGAAATGTAGAATGCGGTGTTGCAATCTGGACAACTATGGAGTGAAAGCTACATGAAGTACATTAAGGCAGAAAGTGCCAAAGCCAACACCCATATGGTTATACGGTTTGACCGACACAGCCACAACTTCATTGTCAAATAGACAATCAACCACAACGAGGGTCTGCCAAGACAAGAATATAGGGTTGTACTACCTTCTCGTTGGTGCGATTGTGGCAAGTTTCAAGCCTTTCGTATGCGTTGCTCTCATGTCATTGCCGCGTGTGCCTATACTCATCAAGACGCGCTACAACTTCTGTCACACATTTACAAATCTGAAACGTTGCTCAACGTTTACAACAACAACTTCCCTTTGGTAGCAAAACCAGATTATTGGCATGCATACAACGGCGAAATAGTATGGCACAATGACCAAATGCGAAGCAATAAAAAGGGTTATCCCAAAAGTAAGCGCATCACAACCGAAATAGACTCCCTTGACAAGCTAGAAAGAAAGTGTGGTTTATGTCGTCAGGTCGGACACAATCGCAAAAATTGTCTGAATCGGGCTACTGCCTCAACCACATAAAAATTGTATTACATAAAATCTTTCCTTTATTATGGTGTAAACATTAGGGTTTTTCGTTAACAATATTTGTTACAATAAACATTGCGCAAATAAGAAAAAAAATACGATAATCCGTCTACGAAATTACAATTGTTAAAACAATATCATCATGCATCATCAACATTACGTCGCTGTCTATTTTGACTTCCTCCAACCAAACATTAGGTCTTCCTGTCGCAAGTGAGGTTGTTGTTCGTCTTCGCTGGATCCTTCTAATTATCCCCCCTTCACAATGTCTCCATCTAGCCATCGCATCAACTCCCGCTTCAGACGCTCCATGGAGTGAATGTGCTAGAATTTTATTTTTATCGGAGGTTTCGTGGCGGAGAAGATAATGTAACCATCTCTGGCAAAAATCATGGCCGATGTCATGACGCAAATAACAGAGTAAAAAATAAGAAAACAATGCGAGAAAGTGTGAGAAATGACGGAGAAACAGACGAATTATTTATAAAAAACAGTATTTTGCCCTAGGAGCCAAGTGAGATGGCGTCTCCTCTCACTTTTAAAGTGCATGTGCCATCTCACTTGACTAAAAGAGAGAGGAGGCGCCAAGTGAGATGGCGCCTAGGGCATATTGCTTACTGAATGCGCCAAGTGAGATGGCTCCTCCTTTGGGAAGTCATCTGAAACATAATTATTTGCGTAATTTTTTCTGAAACATAGTTATTTGCGATTTTTTTTTTAAAACATGGTTATTCCAAAAAAAAAATTCAAGTAAACCATCTTCACAAAATAAACAAAACTTTACAATTTTGGCTTTTTAAATCATAATTTATAGAATATAAAAGTTTTTTATTTTACAAAATAGAATATAAAAGTTAATATTGCAACAACCGAGTTCTTTAGGCAATCACAAATTGGTTTCTATATCTCAAAAAACATTCAGAAGCTTTCTGATTCATTTTCTTCATAAATATCTATAAACTCATTTTGTAATTATAGAATCATATTTAATTGAAAAAAATTCTAAAACTCTGAAACTAATCTACTCTACCTTAATATTTAATATGGATTAGTCGATAGTTTGTGATACCAAAATAGTGTTAAAATAATCATTTTATGGTGTGTAAGGGTAATCATTTTATTTTCATTTTATGGTGTGTAAGGGTAATCATTTTATTTTCAAGCCATATATGTAGTAACTAAATAGAAAAACAATTCACAGCTTCAAAAAAGAAAGCATTGTCTCCCATCCCAAATATTCATACATCTGAATACAGAACTGGTCTGAACACTTATGGTAAAAAAGTTGAGCCAGATGAGATGCCATAAAATGAGTGAAATTAAACTTTACTCCTTACAAGAGTAGCCAATGAAAAGTCACTTGTCGCAGTGAGTAGATTCAATAAAACTTCTACCACAACAATTAACTACAATGGATGCCTCAATCCACATACTTATTCTGTAGCTTCCGCCTGTGGTGAAGTTTCAGTTTGTTTGAGTTTTTCCAAGGAAGAAATTCGATTGTTAAGTGATTCGTAGAGACCATTCGTCTGCAAAAGCAAAGAAAGTTCAGTACTTATTGAAGCACTATATGAGTGGTAAAAATGAATACTCATGTTGTCAAACAATCCCCACCATTTCTTCTCATGCTTGAAAAGGAATGGTCTTAGAGATTGTTACATAAAATGTGGGAAGTGCATAGCCAAGAATACTTGAGCGAAAAAGCGACTCAATAACTGGCAGCATAAGCCACAGCTACTCAGAGCAAGTTTGAACATTGTGCCGGGCAGTGGAATGCATATATTAGTACGAATTGATAGAAACAAACAAACCCAAAAGACCAACTTTATTTGATGGTCGAAAAAAGAAAATACAACTCTCCTTCAAGGGTTCCCCTTTTACAACTGAACCACTACTGTATTTTTTCCGAAATAACAAATACTTTTGTTTCCTCTCTATTTATTCCTCTCTATTTATTCAATCAAGTATCCTCAACTAACTATCCTAACTAATCCTCCTACTTATGTGGGCTCCTTTTATTATACCCTTCTATCCGAAGAATAGCCGACTGCTTGAAGAGCGGGCTCAACTTTTGGATGAGTTGAAAAGCAATTTAGTGAAGGCCAGAGAGAACGGTGTGTTTAAAGTTACACACCCCTACAGTTGCAAGTCTTTGGCTAGAAAGAAGTGTATGTTAGTAAGCACATCAGGGGAATTAGTAATTGTACCAGTTGTTAGTAAGGAAGCAACAGCTGTTAGCAGAGATGAAGTTAGTTGCAGAAGGAAATGATAAATAGAAGTTGGTTTGTATTGGGGATTGTTAAAAATAGTATTAGGGGGCAAATCACAGTGTGGGAGAGAAAAGACCTCTTGAATGCCTTAGCTAGTTTGTTCACATTTTGTACACTGGTTTAGTTCTTTTCCAGTTGGCTGGAGCTCAACCCTTCTTTGTGCATACTACAACTACAAGCAACTCATTTTAGCAAATTACCATTTCTAACACATTGCCTGCAAATTGAAAGTGGTCATGCGATAGGGTTCACGTCCCCAATTTTCCAAAACCAGTCAGTATAGTTTCCTTCTTCATCCGTTCGAAAACTAGTTTGACTCCCTACCATCTCTTTCCTGTCTAAATTCTGGGTAGGGCCAGATGTGCTCTTGGTTGGCCCCAATGAGGTCTGACCTTGAATTGGACTAAGAATCTAGATAAGTTGTTTCAGCAGTTCTCTGCTCAGGGGCCCTCATTAACAGATTTTTGATTGTGGAATCTGTGATCGGCAGATGAAGCTGGACAGGCGGACAGCCAATGCAATAATCTGCTTGAGGAAGACATATATGGCTGTGCAGCTACAATCCATACAATCTGGATCTCTATGGCTGTCATTGCTTGAACAAAAGCTTATAAGAACTTTTCCATAAATGAAGAATCGTAAACTTATTTTTATCAAGAAACTCCTATCACCCAGAAGATAATCCAAACTGGGTTATGTTTTGATTCCGCCGTAGCATCGAGTTCGTTCAGTATTTTCTCCAAAGGCTTTGCCTAATACTCCTGAAAGAGTTTTTCTTTCGGCCCAGCAACTCATCCCAACAGATTACTGCCATCGGGACTGGGAAATTCAACCCTCTTTGTCTGAGAACAGAATTCTCGGTTGCTACACTCCCTATTGAAGCTTTCAGAACTTTCCTAATATTGCTGTAACAAGACCATCTCAGGTGATTGTAGTGTCTCCACTCTTTTCACCTCGCAATCATGCATGTAACTTTTCATTCACCGACCCAACGTATGATTGATTTCTCACATCCCTTCAATAATTTTTCAATTTTAGGGGGTCGCACATCCTGTCCTTTTTGCATTAATCAAGTCCTTGCATCTTGATCAACCCATATAGCATCTTCTTAAACTTGAAAAGACTAGACTCCTGCAAAGGCATCAACGAGGTCGTCATCCCTGCCTGTTAGTCACCTCTTTGCAGAATAACCTCAAATTCTCCATTTCTTACCCACAAAAGATCCACTAGAACATACCCATTTGTCAGGAGCCCAGGAGGAGAAATAGAATAGTGATAGAAACAAATGTAACTTACAAATTTATTGAATGAATGAGAATAGGTAAAAGAATTCTCCTCCAAAGGTTTCCCCTTTTACAACCTTAGCCACTGGTCAGTTTTTCTAAACCAACAAATCTGTACATGTCCTTTCTAACATGTCCCCCTATTTATTTAATTGAGACCCCCCACCCCACCCCCCCTTCCCTCCCTCCCTAACTACTACCCTAACTAACTCTTCTTTATTCTACTCTACCTTTCTATTCTAACAAAATACCATCCCAATAAACAATTTCAATGTGTTCCTCATTCAAGGCTTCAATGTATTCCTCGTTCAAGGCTTCAAGGATATAAGCTCTCAATGTGTTCCTCGTTCAAGGCTTCAAGCTAATTTTCAACACATGCCTTTAAATGTATATTGCTAGCAACAACTGAAACACTCAATCCCTAAAGATATATACAGTAAAGAAGGAAGCATAAAGAACAGTCTTAAAGATGTTGCTCAAATTAAAGGCGAGCTAAAAAGTAAATAAAGATATATGAAACAAGTATGTGTTGATTATGAAAGAGATTAGTGATCTATCAAATATTGGCTTGCAGTAGCTGCTTTTAGCAAGTAAACCTAGATTACTGCAGCAGGCAATGGCCTCTAAATAATTTGAATGTGACACTTATTCTCTTTGTAGCACTGATGCCTCTATACAAAGGTGAGTCCAGTGTCCGACACATGTAATTATGTTCAATTTACTAATTTTTTTCAGATTACTATCGGTGTCAACATGTTAGGGTCGGTGCCAGGTCTGAGTCAGTGTTTCGCAGCTTATTCAACATAATGTGAAGTGCCATTGACAATAGTGGAAGCCACATAGTGGTTGAAATCACCATGGCCGCTATGGCAGATATACATGGCGGTTTTTGGGCACGCCGCAATGGTAAATATCGGCCAATATTGTGGGTTTTTCCGCCATAATCCGCTATAACGGCGTCATGGCCGTTATGGCGGATATACATGGCGGTTTTTGGGCTCGCCACAATGGTAAATATCAGCCAATATTGTGGGCTTCTGTGCAAGAACAAAGAAGAAAAGAAATAATAGAACTGAACCAAAAGTAGGAAGAACATAACGATTGTTTCTGTGCAAGAACATAATAGAATGAATAACATAACTTTACTCTTAAAAGGGGCACTTATACTTTTAAAAAGACGAAGACAACAACAACTAAGTCTTATCCCACTAGCTGGCTCGGCTAGACCATCTTTCGCCATAATATTCTATCAAACTAAGTCTTATCCCACTAGCTGGCTCGGCTAGACCATCTTTCGCCATAATATTCTATCAAGAACCATGTTTGTATCCAAATCATTAATCTGAGATCTTTCTTAATAACTTCTCTTATACTCTTAAAAGACAAAGGATTAGAGAAATTCCCCCCTGAAATCCTAATAGTGATTACGATTTGAGTTAAATCTTAACCTAACCACCACCGCGCCTCTCAATTACTAATAGGTATCGTAATCGACGTGATTAAGATAAATATTATGGCAGAATGTTGGGGGGGGAAAAAAAGGAAAATAGGTAAGAGATTTAGGGTGTACCTGTTGAGTAAGGGATTGATGCGCAAGTTTGTAATCCCTATGGAGAATGTAGAGACCTGCAAACGACGCCGTTGCAGCGCCGGTAAAGAACGACGCTAATCTCACTCTCAGCACGTACCCCATTTCCTATTCAATTTCTCTCTCGATTGCAGGAAAATGGCTTAACGAATAACCCTTTCTTCTTACGGTGCTGCGGAAACGATGCTGTCTCAAAACCACAATGCCTGTCGCGCGTGCTTACATTCGCCCGGGTCTGCAGTGACGTCGTTTTTTATTACAACTTTCATTTCATTATTATTTTTTTCTCTCTTTTTTATAATTAAGGTAAAACAGGGATTGTAAGGATTCACGCTGTTAAAACAAAAACACTTCCTTGGATGAAATACTTACAAATTTATATGCAATTTAGAATTTTAATTAATTCAAATACTTTAATTAAAAAAAATTATTATTTTTATTTGGACAGAATGCTACAACTATTCGTTGTTAAAATTTTTAAATTATTTTCATAAAATTTTAAAAGTTTTGGTCAAATTTAAAAATTTAAAATTAAGGATCAATTTGTAATTTAAATCATTTAAATGGATTAATTTATAAAATTTTAAAAATGATAAGGGACTAAGTTGCAAATTTTGGAAAATTGTAGAAGTCAATCAGAATTTTGAAAAATGAAAAAATTTAAAAACTAATTTGAAATTTTTGAAAAAATTATAATAACTAATGTAACATTTAATTAATTAAAGCGGGAGATGGATTTCAAGTTATCTATTTTTAAGTTTGAAAATTTATTAAATTTATTTTGTTCTGGAATCAAAATTGGATACAGTTGATGAATGGCGATCTCAAATCAACTGTTTTGATCACTGTTACGGCGGCACATGATAAACTTATGTGGTTAACATTATGACGCGCAAGTCAGATCGAGATTCAAAATGTGTGTACTATAAAGTGGAGATCATATAATGTACGTTGCTTTCATCGTGAACTGGCTGGTATGCATTGGGTCAAGTGAAGTAGATTTGAGATGAATTGGATTTTAGCCCTGGCCCAAAATAGTTGCCCCCAAGATTTTGTCAGGCATTAAAGAAGTCGAGGAAGCCTTAAGTTATTTTTGGTTGGCTTCTAGGATGTTATCTAGTGGGAGTTGGAATTGAAACGTTTGGAACCGGTTGAAAAAATAGTGGGGAACAAGCGCATTAAACACATTTCCATTTTTGAAATGTTTCAGCGTCTTCTCCTGGTGTTGATGCGACAAACTAGGGTGTGGTACGACTTATAGCGCACTCGAGTGTGCATGAGTTTGCGTCCAATCGTTGATCTCGTTCTTCCTCTTCTTTGCTGATTTGGGTCGTCCATCTGTCTTTGCCTATAAATTGAAAGTGTTGAGTATTTTGGAAAAAAAATTCGCAATCCTTGGTATTCAAGTTCGTTCGCATTCACTGTATTAGCAAACACTTTCACCTCATTCATTTCAGAGAGCATTTACCAAAGTACTATTTATTCCCTGATCAAAGTTTATGCATTCACAATTTTCTTTGCTTTACCAACTTTATATACCCAGGTACCCTCCTCAACTCAAGTTTTTCTTTCAGTATTTCTTGTTTTTTAGTCGGGATGAGTGATAGTAATGTTAACCTAGTGAGCGGTTCTGAGAGTAAAACTTCTTTTGTATAGGGTATCCCCCTAATTCTCATATCCTTCCTCTTGCTCTTGATCACATGAACCCAAACAAAATATCTTTATGTTGTAATTTTGCTTCAAAAAGGGCATCTAGGAATCCCTTTGATGAATGAACTTCTTCATTTGACTCATTTGAATCCCTTTTACCGGATGAAGGCGAAAGGGAGGGTTCTGTCGAGGTCCTCTTGCCCCTATTTTGACTGAGGAGGAAATACAAGTTATTCGGCGGATGAGGGAACATGCTGACAAATTCATCCAACTTTTTGCGATGACCAATAATCGTGAACTTAGCGATGCTGAGGTGAAGGCATATTGGGATCTTCAGAGTATGTCAGATGTTGTATCTTGGATCACCTTTGATGACCATTTTAAAGTTGATCACCTAGCCCGGAGAGGCGTGACGCTGGTGAAGTCAACTGATGCGGTTAAGTATGGTTGGGTGAATGCCTAGGTGGTGGGCACTCTGTCTGCTTTAGATATTGAGGAGGAAATAGAGGTTGTTTGATTTGTGGTTGGCGAACCTTGGGATTGGTCGGTTCTTCCGGTGGGCTAAGAAAAGAGCATATGTAGTTCCTTTAACAACTACATTGTCCCACTCTATGAGTTCCTGTTCACGAGGATTGGAATGACTACCTTTCTTCGACTTTGAAGTGATCGTCCTTAAGCATTTAAAAGAAGCTCATTCCTAGTTGCATTTGAGGTCTTAGGCCTACATAATGTGTTCCATTTGTGAATGAATTGTAAGTCTTGGAGACATTCACTTAGGATGTTCTTCAACTTGTTCTACCTGGCTCACACTTCTCACACCGAATACTGCGACCAGAGGCTTATTAGGTTCCACTCGAATAATCACTGGTTCGACCCCTTCACCAGGGACTAGGGTGATTTTCTGAGGCATTTCTTGTTGGTGAAACCCCTTATGCGAGAGGCTTATCTTACCTTCTGCTACTCCCATGATGAACCTTCTTGTTTCTACAAGAGCACGTTTCTGAAGTAATCGCCTTCATCCCATTTATGTCGGGGTGTTATTTCCTACCGTACTAAATCGAAGCTCTTTTCCCCTATTGAGGTAGATATTAAAAAAGACATGTGTTCGTGGTTCCACGAACTCGGCTACTATTACAATGTCATGCCCTTCGACCATAAAAACGTTGGTGTTGTAACGCCCGTTTATTTAATTAATTATTTAATTAAATTAATTTTGGATTATTTGTTGAAGTTGTGAGATGTTGTGAGTTTTTGGTATAATTGTTAGATTATTATTAATTAATTAATTAGTTGATTAATAATAATAATAATAATGTTGAAATTAATGGAATAATTGTATTGGGCTCATGTTATTGGTTGGAAGTAGTAAAGTGGAGGTGTGTAAATTAAGCCCAATAGGATCGATATATAAGGTTAATCTGACACAAGGATTTGATTTAGTTGGTGATTAAGGGTTTGTACGATGACCGTAAGAGCTGCACTGAGGAAGGAGCAAGTTGCCCGATGTTGAGCAGAGCAAAACGAGGATTACGACCGGAGCTTTGGTTGAGCGAACTTCAACCAGGTAAGAGTGGGGTTCTGACCTTAAAATGGGATTTATGATGTGTATCATGTGGGAATTGTTTGTTTATATGACTGTGTGCGTTGATGTTCTGGATTTGTTATCAAAGTTGCTTGTTCCTCTATGTTGTGGTCGTTGGGGAGTCATTGTATGTTTGTATCGCATGATTAGTGAACCTGTTGTTGAAGTTTCCCGTTAGTAATGTTGTGGTCGTTTTGAGTTGTATGTATGATTGCCTGGTAGAATCTATGATTAGGTTAGTGTAGTTTATCACTGTGTGGTGTGGTCGTTATGATGTTGTGGTGTTCCGAGCAGTTGACAATAAATTAGGAATTGTTGTTGTGGTCGTATTAAGAGGGTTTATGCGTGATGGTCTTATACAATGAACGAATATGTTGATAGGAAATATAGTTGCCCGTTACTGTGGTATTCTGAGTAGTTGGTCGGAAGTTACGAATTGTATTGATGTGGTCGTTATAACACCGTGTTGTTATGTGTTATTGGCCAAACTAGTGGTCGAGGAGGATGCTGATGGTGTTAGGTGTCGAGCGGCGTTTAGGCTGCAAAGTGTGTCGGGGAATATATGTGTTGGATGTCGAGCGACATTAGGGTTCGAGGCATGCCGGGGAGCGCGGTACTATTATCGAGTGGAACGAAGTTACAAGTTGGGTCGAGGAGTATAAGTTAGTCATTCTTCTTCTTAGTTGTTGTGTAAGTTGTTCTGAGTTGAAAAATTACAGGTGATGATTCATGTTGAGATGCCTCTAATTATGGGTATATATATTAAGTTGTAGGCTTATGGACAACATTGATTTATGTTGAATAATTGTAGGCTTATGCCAATGTTGTTGTGTTGTTGTGATTGTTGCTGTGAATTTTGTTGATGATGCGAAGTTGTAGGGAATTTTAAATGACGATGAATTACCTCTATTTACTGGCAATAATGGTGATATAGGCTTATGCCTTGCGATGAACGATGATTATTGTGAGTGTGTGATAGTGCATTCATTGAGTCACATACATTTGCATATTTTGCGACGGCCTGGACTGGCAAACTGCGAAGAAGGATTATGCCTTGTTGATGCCTCTATTAATTGGCAATTTTTAAGATAGGAGTTCTGCTCCATTTTTAAGTTGGGAGTTCTACTCCGTTTTTAAGATGGAAGTTCTTCTCCATTTTTAAGTTGGGAGTTCTACTCCGTTTTTAAGATGGGAGTTCTGTTTCATTGGTACCACATGCATATGCATAGTAACAAGTTTCATTTTACGTTGCATATTGAGTTGTCGTGTTGATGAATTAATTATTATGTTTCGTTGATGTTTTATTGTGATTGATGTTGTTTAAAGTTGTGAAGTGGTGATTTTGCATAGACTAATTCTAATATAATATTTATCATTCATTTGATTATATTGTTCGATATCTCACCCCTTCCCTTTGAATGTTACCCTGATATTGGTAATGTGCAGGTAATCCAGACTGAAAGTGGTTTACCTTCAGTAGTTTGAGTCGGTGTCATTGCTCTGATACGTAACACTCAGGGGGGTGAACGCTTGCTATTTTATTGTTATTATTTTAGTTGTTGAACTCTAAGTTGTTTTTAGTTAAATGCTTGTTATTTGAAGTTGTTGGACAAAGATGATATATTGATTTCGCTGCGAAGTTATGAAAGTTGTTGATTTTAAAAAGATTAATTTATGTTTATTGTTGGTTCATCCAAGTTAATGTGTTATGTATCTGTAATGAATGTCGTTGTTTTAAGTTGAATTTATAGCATCCTGATCTAGTTGTGGAATTTTATAATTCTGATTTTATATATAATTATCGGGTAGAATTGGGGTGTTACAAAGTAGGTATTAGAGCAAAGTCGGTCCGTCCGACCAAGTTTTCGAGTCG